GAGAACCCAACCTTTTAGAGGGAGAGAGAGAGAAAGGTATCAACTTTCACAACTCCAACAACTACTGAAAGCTAAATGAAAATTTGTGGTACTGTGGGAGTTTTACCCCATCCAATCAAGCTGCTTCTGTTGTTGCAGCTTAAAACAAAAGCAAGGTCTCACAAGCTGTTTAATTCATTTGCTTGAAGCAAGCCATTCTGCGCCTCTGTCTCAACCTCTCTTCAAAAAAGGGACAACATACACCTCTTAAAGCCATAGTATTATCACGGCATATAGAATCAGATACTATCGCAGTTCCAATTCTACGAGGGCTGATTTCTGTTTATCAGTGTATCATATTCCTAATGACTATCCAGATATTATTAGTTGTGACATACATTGTCATTTCTGTGAGAATGAATTAACTCTTTAGTTGGAAGCTTATATTTATTGTTGTTTACATTATGTACCTGTGCAAAATTTCAAATTGCTTGCGCATTATGTGGGAATGCATGTCTGGGAACGGTTGACAGAATCGTCTATGTTCCAGTGATTAACTGGATTTGGTAAATATGTCTATATTTGAGCAAGTGTGCATTGAACTGTGAAGCAAGTCGGTTAATCTCTGTCACATTAACCTTTATGAATTCACTCGTGTTTTGCACAGTGCCAACTTGTCACAGATTTTTTTTAACTGAATAATGTCTCTTTTTTCTGCTTTATCTTCTATCAATCATTCCACTGATCCACTGATCGTGCTAAAAATAACTATTTCCTCAAAATACCTTCAGGTGGGCTCTCCTGGGGTACATATCTAACAAATGATTAAACACTGATCTGGTTTGGAGTAACAATGGAACAAAGAAAGCGACCAAAAACAAAAAGCCTGAAAAAATGATGCTCAAAGAAAACTTAAGATTGGCACGTGCTAGGATTAAATCTTCCGCGTGACCAGTACCTCATCCATCATATGTAAGATCCACTTCCTTCATTAACAATGAATTATGGCACCAAAGTGCAACGTTTTCAAGCTGCACTGCAGGTTCTATCAATCGTACCTTCACAACCTGCGACACCTACCACTTGAAAAGATGTAGGCAGCCGATAGATGGCAACAATATGACCTGAGAGGTCCCCTCCGGCCACGTACTATCCTGATTCAGAACCGTTATCTCCATTTCTTTGGTCAAAATGCTAGAAATGCCTCACTAACAGCACTGAGTTTACAGATAAACAAAGGAAAACAGAAGCTCAGGAGGCAGATCAACCTCAGTTTTGTCAAGGCAGTTTAAATGGCAAATAAATGCTGGTCGAGCCAGCGATGCCCATTTGCCATTAACCAATGTTAAAACAAGTCTCCATCTAGTTGTTTATTTATTCATTCATTCATTCGTTTGTGAGATGTGGGCGTTGCTGGATGGCCAGCATTTACTGTCTGTCCCTAGTTACCCTTAAGAAGGCGGAGGTGAGCTATGTTCTTGAAGCGCTGCAGTCGACCTGCTGTGAGTTAACCCACAATGCCATTAGGGAGTGAATGCCATGATTTTCACCCAGCGACAGAGATGGAACAGCGATATACTTCCAAGGCAGGATGGTGAATAACTTGGAGAGAAAGTTGAAGGTGGTCGTGTCCCCATGCACCTGCTGTCCTTGCCCTTTTATGTGGAAGAAGTCGTGGGTTTAGAAAATGCTGTTTGAAGATCTTCGGTGAATTTTTTCAGTTCAGCCTGTAAGTAGCACACATTCTGCTCCTGGGCATCGGCTGTGGAGGGAATGGGTGCAAGTGGTTGTGGTGCTAATCAAGCGGGCTGCTGTGTCCTGAATGGTGTCAAGCTTCTTGAGTGTTGTTGCAACTACACTCATTGAGTTAAGTGGGTAGTACTCCATCCCACTCCTGACCTGTTCCTTGTCGATTGTGAACAGGCTTTGGGTAGTCAGAAGGTGTGATACTCGTTGTAGTATTTCTAGCTTCTGACATGTTCTTATAGCCATTGTTTTTATGTAGTGAATCCAGTTGTGTTTCTGGTCAATGGGGATATTGATAGTGGGGGATTCAGTGATCATAACACCATTGTTGTTGGATTGTAACAGCAGTGGTTGGATTGTCTCTTGTTGGTGATGGTCATAGCCTGGCATTTGTGCAGCGCAAATGTCACTTGCCACTTGTCAGCTCAAGCCTGAATATTGTCTAGATCGTGTTGCATTTGGACATGGACTGCTTCAGTATCTGAGTAGTCGTGAATGGTGCTGAACATTATGCAATCATCGGTGAACATCACCACTTCTGACCTTATGATGGAAGGAGGGTCATTGATGAAGCAGCTGAAGATAATTGGGCCTAGAAGACTACCCTGATGAATTCCTGCAGAGAAGTACTGGAGCTGAAATGACTGGCCTCCAACAATCACGACCATCTTTCTATGTGTCAGACATGAATCTGACCGCCAGAAATGTTGCCCCCGTATTACCATTGATTCCAATTCTGCCAGGGCTCCTTGATGTCACACTCAGTCGAATACAGCCTTGATGTCAAACGCTGTCACTCTCTCCTCACCTCTACAATTCAGCTCTTTTATCCATGTTTGAACCAAAGCTGTAATGAGGTCCAGAGCTAAGTGATCCTGGCAGAGCCCAAAATGGGTGTCACTGAGCAGGTTATTACTGAGCAGGTGCTGCTTGATCGCACCATTGATCTTCCATCAGTTTACTGATCATCGAGAGTAGATTGATGTGGGCGGTAATTTGCTGGGTTGGACTTGTCCTGCATTTTATGTACAAGACATATTTGCGCAATTTTCCATATTGTCTGGTTGATGCCAGGGTTGTAACTACCGGAACAGACTGGCAAGGGGAGCCACATGTTCTGGAGCATAAGTCTTCAGTACTATTTCCAGAATGCCTGTAGCCTAGCAATATACAATGTCTCCAACGATGGTTGCAAGAGAGCTGGTTCTAGGTGGCACGGATGACTGTGGAGTGAGTGGGATCAGACTGTTTCCTTGTCTCCACAATGAATACCACAGCCTTTATATTGGAACAGTAAAACTGATGGAGGACAATTATAATTCAGTTTGAATCACATTCTGAATCTGAAACCTGATCACGCTGCTTCCCTGGTTTTGGGGATTGTGCATCATTCATTGCAATCAATTTCTGTGTTGCAGTTGGCCTGCGTGCTCGGCTGTGAACTGAAACGTTGGTGGCTCGAACCATCCGAGGGGATGGCTTTAGCGTTTACCTTGGCCAATTGGAGCGGTCACTTGGGGGAGGGGGAGAGGGAAATGGCTCCAACAATATATTGCCCAAACATTGACAGCTCTGAGATTATTCACGGACACCCCATCACCATCAAATCCCACCCCCTGACATTTTATCTGACGATTTCTTCCAAATGTAATAAGTAAACAAATGGACACACCATGTGTCTAATGTTCATGTCCCTAACCTACTGAAAATCTAGGAAGTGATTGGATTCAGTCAACCCCAACACCACTGGGAGTGAGACCAAGAAAAGCAGATAAATGGCAATATCCCAGCACTGCACTCCCCAGTCTCCCGCTGCCTGCTCAAAGCAGGATTGCAGAGTCGCTCAGTGGTTCACTGCTCACCCCTAGCAAACAGGGCCTTCCAACCTGGAGGTTCTCCCAGTACACTGAGAACAGGCATAGCAAGATCCAGAGTGATTATATCTCAGTGACTACACCTTCTAACGGCATCAACAGGGCCACGGAATGA